TACGAAAAGTCTAATATGATCACTAACTTCTCAGCAGCACTCTCGACCATATCTTTCTCGCTTTCGGCTTCAATTGAGTATACTCGCGATTGCTTCTCATCAGCGCTCTAAAAGGTCAAAATATACTTTTATTTTTCCTCACTTTCAAATATGGCTACTCACCCCCTCAGAAATATTATCATTACTTTGCGGTTGCTCTTCATCAGTAACCTAAAATGCTATGGCTTGCTTTTACGTTTCAATAGTACGAACTTCCTTACCGCTTTTCTATATTGAGCGTCCAAGCACACTGGTCTTATCGTGGCCCCATTTCTGTTGGCTCTGATGTTTGAAGTCTGCTTTCTAAACGTTACATCTCTTTTTTGGCACAGTGGTAGAATTGATTATTATGTGAGTTGTTACCTTCTACACAAATACTGCGAGCAGCTTACGATTTTCATCATTCCATGAGCGTTGATAATACCAATGCCAACAGACAGTATAAGGCCTGTCTGAAATAAAATACTTCATGTTTGGGCAAAATGAATTTTGCACAATGTTCGAGCCACCGTTATTTTTGTGTTTCATATGTTTTACTAGAAGCAACAACTAACCCAAAATCCAGCCTGTTTCAAAGCCATCGGTATGGCAAACACACCCACTCCCACAGTTGCCTTCAAGAGGTTAATAAATGCATATGAGCTCCTAAAATACTAGCATTACTGTGTAGTATCAAATTTCGAAAAATTCGAATCTACTCACCTAATCATTTTCAGGATTTGCAAGAAATTGGTGGCGAATGGTCCTGTAAAACGAATTCGTGATTTTTAGTAAATATTATACGCTACCAAAGTTAATTCGTTATAAGTGATGTGAGGAGCAGAATCTAGCCATTCAAAAATTAGCCCGCTAAATTCGTCTATATAGAAATATGTCAAAATTGGTAAATAACAGTAGCAAGAGCTGTCTGACTGTCTCCAACTACTTGCACTCTTAATCCTCGACACGACAGAAGAAGATTATTCACAAGCGGTCAAGACAGCGGCTGCGAATTTTGGTATTTGACTTCAAAGGAACTAAAATTAAGCTGCGTTTGAGAGGAATCAACTTTATCGGTAGACGTTCTAGTCTACCGATGAAGTTGATTTAGGTTGCTGAGCAAATCTCGAAAAAAAACTCCAGAATATTGTATCCGATTTCAATATTTGCAACATTCAGATTCAGTAAA